ATGGTTTCTCCCCTTTGTGAATCCCGTTATGAGAAGTAAGTACACTCCTAGTACGAAAGCTCTTTCCACACTCCAAGCATTTATATGGCTTCTCCCCTGTGTGGATCCTGTTATGGGAATTCAGATGACCCTTCTGAGTAAAGCTCTTTCCACACTCTGTGCACTTATATGGTTTCTCCCCTTTGTGAATCCCGTTATGAGAAGTAAGTACACTCCTAGTACGAAAGCTCTTTCCACACTCCAAGCATTTATATGGCTTCTCCCCTGTGTGGATCCTGTTATGGGAATTCAGATGACCCTTCTGAGTAAAGCTCTTTCCACACTCTGTGCACTTATATGGTTTCTCCCCTTTGTGAATCCCGTTATGAGAAGTAAGTACACTCCTAGTACGAAAGCTCTTTCCACACTCCAAGCATTTATATGGCTTCTCCCCTGTGTGGATCCTGTTATGGGAATTCAGATGACCCTTCTGAGTAAAGCTCTTTCCACACTCTGTGCACTTATATGGTTTCTCCCCTTTGTGAATCCCGTTATGAGAAGTAAGTACACTCCTAGTACGAAAGCTCTTTCCACACTCCAAGCATTTATATGGCTTCTCCCCTGTGTGGATCCTGTTATGGGAAATAAGTACACTGTTTTGAGTAAAAGTCTTTCCACATTCCATGCATGTATATGGTTTCTCCCCTGTGTGGATCCATTTATGGGAGGTAAGTTGACTCTTCTGAGTAAAGCTCTTTCCACACTCGGTGCATTTATATGGTTTCTCTCCTGTGTGGATCCTGTTATGGGAAGTAAGTACACTCCTAGTACGAAAGCTCTTTCCACACTCCATGCATTTATATGGTTTCTCCCCTGTGTGGATCTTTTTATGAGAGGTAAGTTGACTGCTATTAGTAAAGTTCTTTCCACACTCCATGCATTTATATGGTTTCTCCCCTGTGTGGATCCATTTATGGGAGGTAAGTTGACTGCTAGTAGTAAAGCTCTTTCCACACTCCAAGCATTTATATGGCTTCTCCGCTGTGTGGATCCATTTATGGGAGTTAAGTTGACTGCTAGTAGTAAAGTTCTTTCCACACTCCATGCATTTATATGGTTTCTCTCCTGTGTGGATCCTGGTATGGGAATTCAGATGAGCCTTGTGAGTAAAGCTCTTTCCACACTCAGTGCATTTATATGGCTTCTCCCCTGTGTGGACGCTTTTATGGGAAGTAAGATCCCTGCTAGCAGTAAAGCTCTTTCCACACTCCAGGCATTTATATGGCTTCTCCCCTGTGTGGATCCATTTATGGGAGGTAAGTTGACTGCTATTAGTAAAGTTCTTTCCACACTCCAGGCATTTATATGGCTTCTCCCCTGTGTGGATCCATTTATGGGAGGTAAGTTGACTGCTATTAGTAAAGTTCTTTCCACACTCCAGGCATTTATATGGCTTCTCCCCTGTGTGGATCCATTTATGGGAGGTAAGTTGACTGCTATTAGTAAAGTTCTTTCCACACTCCATGCATTTATATGGTTTCTCTCCTGTGTGGATCCTGTTATGTGAATTCAGATGATCCCTCCGAATAAAGCTCTTTCCACACTCAGTGCATTTATATGGCTCCTCCCCTGTGTGGACGCTTTTATGGGAAGTAAGATCCCTGCTAGTAGCAAAGCTTTTTCCACACTCCAGGCATTTATATGGTTTCTCTCCTGTGTGCATATTTTTATGTCTGACAAGGGATGTATTTTGAGGGAAGCTCTTTCCACACTCCATGCATTTATATGGCTTCTCCCCTGTGTGCATCCTATTATGGTAAGTAAGATAACTGCTACTAGTAAAGTTCTTTCCACATTCCATGCATTTATATGGTTTCTCCCCTGTGTGGATCCTTTTATGGGAATTTAGACCAGACCGCTGAGCAAAGCCCTTTCCACACTCCATGCACTTATATGGTTTTTCTCCTGTGTGGATCCTGTTATGGGAAGTAAGTTGTATCTTAGTACGAAAGCCCTTTCCACACTCCATGCACTCATATGGCTTCTCCCCTGTCTGGATCGTTTTATGAGACGTAACGGACCCATTTTCAGAGGAAACAGTGAAGGTCCAATTGGGTGTTTTTCCGTTGTCTCTGCAGATATAATCTTCTCCTTTGGTTTGGGTTGGAGAGTGTTCATTTCCCACTAATTTGTCTTTTAATAGTCTTATACTTTTTCCCATATACCTTTCCTTTATTTTTCCTTGTTGGGCAAGAAAGCCTCGCGTGTCATCATCCATGGAAGATGAGATTTCCTGATTCCAACTATTTGACTGGTTTCTCTCATGACTTTCTAGTGGCATCTCTAGTTCCTTGTCCATTCCGTCTCCATGCCTGATCAGTCTGGATTTTTCATTGGGATCTTTATTCTCACAGCGATGACCACCTGCAAAGGAAACGAGAAATGAAAATTATAG